TTTCCCTTTCCGTGTTACAAAACCGGGTTCAGCTGTCCCAGGGCTCTGCAGGCACATGCTTAAAGAAATAAAAGCATCGATCCTCCAAAGAGCTGCTGGAAGGCATTGCCTCCCTCTCCCAAAGCTGATACTCTTGGTGTCTGGGTGCACCGCTTGATCAGGGGCGGGGTGTTCCCTATAACCAAATGCTGGCAAAGGAGCAGGCTGGCATTTCTGACCCCCTGCGACACCGACCACCTTACGCCGGCTCCGTGGCCATCTGCAGGGCTGCGGCAGCAGGACCGGAGCCGACGTGGTCTCCTCGAGCAGATCTGCAAGCTCAGCCTCTCCCGAGCACGCAGCCGCTCCCACCGCTGCCGGGTCCCTGGCACAGCACACCCAAACGCTGCAGGATTTGATGGCCTGTGGGCAACTTGGGTCGTTAATGGTACTTCATAGCTTAGTGCCTCTACCTTCACATGGTGCCTGAAGATACCAGCAGCTCCCGTCCCTCCCAGACACTCACCCCCGCTTTAACCACCCACGTGGGTCTGTTGTGGGCTCAGTAACGCTTTTCCACCCCAATCCAGTAGCTTTATCCATCCAACTCCTTTCTAACCATTCAGACATGGGCAGAGGTTTCCTTGCATACAACACACGCTACTTCAGAAACGTTTCGTGGACCTGAACAGGTCCCACGGGATGGGAGGTGGCTCCGAGGATGCCCAGGGTGAGAGGGCTCTTAGGGCAGAGGATGCTCAGCTGCCAATTCCGCACGCGTCACCTGGGGGTGACCGCAGCGGGCGGCGGTGGAGGGTGACGGGTGCAGCTCTGGGTGGAGGTTGCTGAAGGTATGGGGTTCCCTTCAGCGCCCCTGATGTCCCCACATAGCCCTGTGACAGAGAAACAGCGCTCAGCCCTCCGGCTGAAGTGCTTCGAAGCCGGACAGCACCGCCCGGAGGAACGGGTGGCCCACGGGAGGGTGGCCCTTGCCAAAATTCACGATACTGTGACACCTCTAACCCACGCCACTCAAAAACCCCGCTTCCCGCCGGTGCGGTCGCTCCCTGGTTCTTGCGGCGGAGCGGCTGGCAAGCTGCTTTGGTTAAAAGAAATAGAGAAAGAAAAAAAAAATGGTACTGCTTTTGCTGACGAAAAGCGCTCCAAGCTATCTTGTTACTGTTGGGAACGCAGCTCGACTGCAATCCTCTGTCTTTGGGCACTTACAGCTTTAGCAAATGAGCCTTTGGGATAAAGTTGTTATCCTTGTTTCCAGTTCTAAGCTGGATGTTTTTGGGACCATTTCAGATTCCCTTTGGCTCTTTTTAGGAAGATTGAAGCATCAAAAACGTTAGATTTTATTTTGTTGTTGTTGTTAATCGGTTAAATAAGTTTCAATTTGTGCTCAGTTAACTCAAAAACCCCAGGCTGATGAAGTGCCAGCTTCCCGGGCACTGTCAGTGCTGTGTCCCGGCTGCTTTAATGCTTCATTTAGGCCCCCAAAGCCGAAAACGCAGGTTTATGCGACTCAGCCAAAGCCACCCACCCCTGCCAGATCTGATTCATGGGGCAAATAATGTACAAATTGGGGTATTATAACCGAGCGGTGCCGGCTGAGAACCAGGGGGTTGGATGGTGAGGCTGATACCCTCAGGAGCTGTTGAAGGGTTGACCCCCGTGGGGGGGTTTCCCTGCCCAGCACAAAGCCCTGCCTGCGTAAAGCCAACGCTTGGACCGTGCAACCAGACCTGACACCCTCCCCCCCCCCCAAAACACCATCCCCC